CACACTTCTGGCTGACTCTTAATGAGCAAATCATGGTTTCTAGGGAGCAAGCATTGAATCTGTACCAAGCCCAGGTGTCTGAAGTGTTATGCATAGTTTTACACTTCAAATAGTGCATTTACATTGGAGGATAAGCCAGGCTTTAGTGACATAACAGTCAAACATATGGGGCAGAGAGACACACTGGTTGTAGTTGCATTGTTATTACAGTCAAACCTCGTTCTGCATCTGCCTCCGCTTGCGTCTGCTTCGGCGAACGTCCGCGGCAAACCCAGAAGTACCGGAAAGGGTTACTTCTGGGTTTGCCACTTGCACATGCGCAGAAGCTCTAAATCACACTGCATGCGTGCGCAGACACGGCACTTCGACATGACATGCGTCATTTTCAGCTTGTGGACGGGCCTCTGGAATGGATCCCGTTCACAAAATGAGGTGTGACTGTAATTTATTTAAAAAACTGGAATTTCTCTTCTCTAAGGCTCAGTGTGGCTTCCAGCAAAGCAAACCATACAACAATGGCAGCAAAACTATGTAAAAAAACAAAACAAAACAAACACAGTCTCTTCATCAAGAAACCACTAAAAATAGTGTACTCTGTGTCAACAGTCCCACAGGTCTAGACATGCTCACTCAACAGCTCTATGGCTTTTGGAAGAGCTAGGCTTTGCGTCCTTTTAAGAAAACCTCCAGAACGGCTTTTGGACTTCATCAGAGATGTTGTTCTGAAACCTTGAAATAATTAGGTTAATGGCCGTTGCTTCTCGTCCCTGATGTATTCACCAGATGTATCAGATGCTTGCATTCATACAGTTAAATACTAAACAGTGAAACTGGTAACTTTCATCCAGACAACAGGATAGGTACAAGGATGATCCGAATAGCAGTGATGCACTCTTGATGCTCAAGCGTGATTCATACCTGAACATGGCACCTTTTGCGATGTTTATGAGAGACAGAAATTGTGTTGATGGCGTTGAGTCATCAGCCGGGATCAGTTGTGCAGTGATCACAATTGGTTTGTAGGAGGTCTGAGCTGCACATATGGCAGCCATATACAAAATGCAGTTTGAGCAGCTGCAATAATTCCTTGTAAAAAGAGGAAGATAAAGAGGAGCTGGTATTAACGGCAGGCGTAATGAGAACAGCATGGCATATAAAAGAGATGCAGTTTTATTTTGCATGGAGTTCTTAAAATGGTAATACGGGCTGCTCTAGTGTAGCACACACACACCCCGGCCATATCTCTGTTACGTGCACTTTGAGCGCATGAGGGGCTTCTTGTGTGGCGCTTCCAGAATGGGTACTTCAGTAAAAAAGGCAAGCTGCCGTTTGATAAGGCAATCCAAAACTGTATTGTTCAAGGCCTCTGTTACCACTGTCTAGTTACAAGGACCTCCATCCTAGCAAGAATACAGTGGACCCTTGGGTTACATTACTTTCGGGTAATGTAACTTTTGGGTTGTGAACGCAGCAAACCCGGAAGTGTATATTTCTGGGTTTCGCCGCATGCACAGAAGCGGCGCCTCGTGTTGCGGACTTTTCAGGGTACGTACGGACCCCCGGAACAAATTAAGTTCGTATCCGGAGGGTCCACTGTACCAGTAATCGGGACTCAATTAGGGATGGGTGATAATGTTGTGCAAAACCAGTTTGAAGTTGCCATCGTGAAATTGGTTTCAAATTTTTTGACCCAGTAATATATCGCGAATCAAGATGTGTGCTAGGGCCGGGCAATAAATCGTTCAGAACTGGTTTGAAGTCCAAATCATGTTTTGTGTGTGCGTTGGTGTGCTGTGCAAGTATTACAGTGTGGGGGAAACTGTGAAGCCAGCCAGTTCCTCTACATAGCTCAATCCTTATTTCAGACATTATGATGTATCACAATGTTTAGCGGGTGGTATATCGCGATGTAGAAAACCAGGTATCGTCCAGTCTTACTGTTTGCCTCTACACAGTTCCATCCCTATTTCAGACAACATGATATGTTGGTATATCGTGATGTTTAGCTGGTGATATATTGTGATGTTGAAAACCAGATATCTCCCAGCCCTAGTCACAGTTGGAAAAATGCCTGTTAGCAACTCATCCCTTTATTCTGCCATTGTCAAAACTGATTTCCCTATTCTTCGTCGCGCCTCCTCTCTTTTCCCCTTCAGTGTGTCCCGTCTTTTGGATTGTAAGCCTTTCGGGCAGGGCTTAAGCCATATTTTGATTTATGTCCATTGCCCCCACATCAATACTTCTTTTTAATTGTTATTTGAATTATCTTTAAATTGCTGTGAGCTACTTTGGGATATAGTCTTCATTTGCAAAGTAGGATAATTGTATAATAAAAAACAAGATTCCAGAAGTGTTAGGCAGCCTACAAGTATTGCCATTAAATGGCTTGTTTTTCCAGTTGAGGGCATTGGAAAACATTTGCATGACTGACCAGGGAAAGAAAAATTGCTGTTATTGGGGGTGGTGGGGGTGGAGAAGGGGCTTCAAGAGAGAACTGGAGTCAGGTAAGATTACTGTCATTAATGACATCATTAATGGCATTTCCCTGCTGAGAAGAAGAAAAAAGTGGGGAGAGGCCTCAAGGGTAATAATATTGCTATACTAAAATCTGTGTTCAGTTCAGACCTGTTCTCAAGTGTAGCAACTGGGAATATGTTGGCAGACTGAAGACTTCAGAAACTGTACTCCTCTGGTCAGTTTGCAGGAAAGGGGAAAAAAGCCAACAGTTCATTAGTTGACACAAATCTTTGTAACCAGTCAGACTCAATTAAAGTAAAATATCTGAGAAGAGAAGACTATTTAGATGATAACAGATGGGCTGCGATGTAAGGTTAGTGAGGGCAAATACAGAAGCTGTCTTGATAGTTGCTTCTAAGAAGGCTGATATTTATTGCTAGTTTGACTGTGTTGGTCTATATTCAAATAATGTAGGCCACTCAGAAGTCACTATGCAGTATGGAATAAATTAAAAACAGCTTTTAGTATTATTAATTTTAGTATTGCCAATACTATTACAGTGGTACCTTGGTTCTCAAACTTAATCCGTTCCAGAAGTTCGTTCCAAAATCAAAGTGCTCCAATACCGAGACGTGCTTTCCCTTAGAAAGTAATGCAAAATGGATTAATCTGTTCCAGACTTTTAAAAACAACCCCTAACACAGCAATTTGTCATGAATTTTAATATCTAACGAGACCATTGATCCATAAAATGAAAGCAATAATCAATGTACTGTACTATAAAAGAAATAAAGACAGTATTGTAGATGATAAAAAAATTAAAATTGATTTTTTTTTCTTACCTGCACTGATGATAGTCATTGTTTGGATAGGGGGCTTTTATCCATTTCCGCAGTCACACAATCAATCAATCAATAGCTGAACTGGGTTCTACATAGTCACAAAAACAAATGAACCGAAAAAGCCTAAAAAACGCAAAATAAATAGCAAAAACAAAAGACCCAAACTTCATCCATTCCAGGAGTCTGATTGACTTCCGAAATGTTCGAAAACCAAGGTTCTGATTGGTGCAAGTGCCCCGGAAACAATAGCCAACAGCCGCATCGGATGTTCGGCTTCTGAAAATAGTTTGAAAACCATAACACTTACTTCCGGGTTTTCGGCATTTGAGAACCAAGGCGTTTGAGAACCAAGGTTACCACTGTAAAAGTATTACCATTACTTTTATTATTTCTTACAGTAAGCAACATATGGATAGGCTGGGTAAAAAAACAACAACCCCCAAAACCCCAAACACCTTTATACTTCCACATCCACAAATACGATTTCTCTAAGGATGGGGAACCTGAAAGATTGTATAATTAACTGTGACACAACTGTATATCATCAGCTGCTTAAGGGGCATTTTGAAGAAAAGAAACTGCAAATATTTATTCTCTCTGGTTTTGGCTGGGAACAGCTGTAGCCATCAGAAGTAATTGTTCTTATGAAGGGTTTTATGCTTGAACGCTGATCCAAAGACAGCCATCCTTCACCTGCCTGCCACTGGTTCCAGAACAATTCGTCACCTCGTCGCATTTGTCTCCGCTCAGATTGCTGGGTTGGCATTCTGATTCTTCGTAACAATATGTTCTTGTTCGATACTAAACACAGAGGAAGGGTAGTTGTGTCGCTTTTCTTTTTTAACAAGTGGTATTCTCAGCTTGTCGTGTCCTGATAGTTTGAGAAAGAAAATGAAAAGGGGTGTTTTTTTGGTCCTTATTTTGTAAAAGCAATTTTTCATCGAGGATTTAAGAAAGCAAGTTACCGGTATATCCCTCTTGTCAGACATAGGTTTCTGTTCAGTTACCTATAGCATCGTAAACCTCTCTTAGGAAGGTAGTAAACTGCATGGATCTCTTTTTCTTTTATTTTCTTTTATTGTGCCACCGCCTAGCATATTCTTAACTGACCTTGCAGCTCATTAAGTCTGGTTTCCTGCTTCAGTAACTTGGAACTGTCAATCAAGAGCTTGGCTTCGAATCTCTGCCGTTTTCTAGCCGTCTTTTGACTCTTGGTCCTCTTCCCAGTTACGTTCTGTTCCTGAATCTTAATGTCATAATAATCCCTTTGTTCCATATTTTGACTAGGAACTTTTTTTTTTGTAATGGCTGTTATGAACGATCCCATTGTAAACCTCTGCTAGCAAAGTCTCCATGCACCAGTGACCAGGGAAGACAGCCACAACAAATTCGGAGAGCTCCTAAAAAGCTCTCCCTCCAGCTGCTTTCTTGTGGGCTGCACACGCTAAGCTCTGGAATCCCATTACAGTCATACCTCGGGTTACAGACGCTTCAGGTTGCGTTTTTTCAGGTTATGGACTGCCGAAACCCAGAAGTTCCAGAACGGGTTAGTTCCGGGTTTCGGCGGTTGCGCATGCGCAGAAGCGCTAAATTGCGCTTTGCGCATGCGCAGAAGCGCCGAATCGCACCCCTCCCATGCTCAGATGTGGGTTGCGAACGCTGCAGGTTGCGAACGTGCATCCCGCACGGATCACGTTTGCAACCTGAGCGTCCACTGTACGGTAAAGTATGAGACTCATAATCGCAGGGTTGTGGGTTCAAGTCCCACATCGGGCGAAAGATTCCTGCCTCACAGGGGCTTGGACTAGATCAGGGGTAGACAAACTAAGGCCCGGGGGCCAGATCCGATCCAATCGCCTTCTAAATCCAGCCCGCGGACGCTCCGGGAATCAGCGTGTTTTTACATGAGTAGAATGTGTGCTTTTATTTAAAATGCACCTCTGGGTTATTTGTGGGGCATAGGAATTCATTCATTTTTTTTCGAAATATAGTCTGGCCCCCCACAAGGTCTGAGGGACAGTGGACCGGCCCCCCGCTGAAAAAATTTGCTGATCCCTGGACTAGATGCTCCTTGTGGTCCTTTCCAGCTCTACAATTGTGTAATTCCACACTGACAGCGCAGAATGTGCTTTGTTTGTCTTTGGAACTGATCGAATAATCGTGCAAGAAATGTAGAATTAAAGTGTGGTTGAGGTTTTATGAAATCAGTGTTTCTTTTGGTAAGATATTGTCAGGGAACTGCCATCAGTGCCAGAGGGAGAGAGCAAGATCCAGAGGGATTCCGGAGAGCGTCCCGGGATTGGGAAAGGCAGCCCATCTTCTGGGGAAGAGAATCAGCGTAGCACCAGTGGAGAAGGGGGGCAGATGGGGGAAGCGGCGAGGCGGTCCCATGACTCCTTGCCGGGGACGAGCTGGGAGAGTAGAGGTCCTCCACTGTCTACACCCTCCTTGCGCAGAAGGCTTCCGCGCAGAGAGAGTAGGAGGCGACTAGGCGTCAAAGAGCTTCTTTGCTGGAAGAAGTTTAAGAAACGCCCACTGACGGATTCTGCCAGCGATTGAGACAGCCACGGGTGAGTGGCTGTCCGGACAGAAAAGGTTCACTCAGGCAACCCAGCCAGGTGTTTGCACCGGCTTACGCACGAGCAACCCCTAGAACCACTACAGATATTAACAGGTGTTTTATTTTGGAATATCTGTGTATATGTAGCATCATACATGGACTTCATTCCAGCAGCTGCGATGCTGGGCTGGGACATATAAACACAAATGGAATCTCGCCTAGTGTGGTGTGAGGAAAGGATTGAAAATAGCTACAGGGGCATTACAGTCAAGGCAGAAAGTGGGTAATCAGCACCGCAGCCATTTTTACAGCCCTGTGTCCACCACACTACAAGCCGTCATGTAACTAGCTCTTCAGGCTAGTAGATACTACATGTATTTTGAGATTGGTGTTTTTGTGCATGTGTTTATAAACTCCCCCCCCCCAATTACAATGTTGTAGTCTCAGCATCTGTTTTGCAGACTACTCTCACAAACAAGAACTTTTCTATTATCAGTTGCATATCTTTATGTGGCTACGTGGATAAAGAGCTGGTGCCCAACTGTTGTTGTTCAATTATTAAATATTGGTGACTAAAATAACAAAAAGGTCAGTACATATTCCCAACATAAAATTCCCCTTTGCTCCAGATTTTTGTAATGATTTAAACTTGAGCTTTGGTAACAGATTAATGGCAACTCTGCCCCCTGTCCCCCCACAAATCCACTCCAATGTCAAACCAGAAATTCCAGACATCGGGCATTTGAAGGCAAGGGGTGCAAATATGTGTGCTACTGTTTACTTATTTACTTATAATTTATGGAGAAACTGTGAATTCAAAATGACCGAACTCCACTTTTCCCTTTAAAAGTTACACATATGTGAGAAACACTTTTAAAATTGGTCGGTAGCAGGTGCAACATATAGCTTGGAGGGAAAACGCGGCGTGTGGCTCATAGTTTGTTATCTAGAATATGTCTTGTTGATTCATATCGAAAGGCACAGATGTACAATAGGCCATTCTCACATTTTATTTTGACTATAGTTTAAATCAGAATACTGAAGGCTAGAACCCTATGCCACCATACTTGGAAGTAAGTTCCATTGAACTTAGAAGGATTTCACTCCAAGTAAACGTGCAGAAAATCATGCTGCTGGTGTCGTGTTCAACTAGGGCAGAGCTTCCAAACTTTTCATGTTGGTGACACACTTTTTAGACATGCATCATTTCGCGACACAGTGATTCAGTTTCGCATCATGTCGCATCGCGACACAGTAATTCAGTTCTACTAGCAAACCGGAGGCTAAACTAACCCCTTTTCAGCCCCTGGGGGAAGTGTGGGGAGTGTTTGCACGACACACCTACACACTGCAGCCAACACACTAACATGTCACGTCACACAGTTTGGAAAGCTCTGAACTAGGGCAACAAAGACCAACTTGCTTAAAATGAATCAGCAAATGTCACTTTTCATAGATAAAGGAAGCTATCTTTTTATAACTCAAGGCGGGGGGTGGGGGCTGTGAAAAGTCCATGGTTTTATACTATAAGATCCTCTGCCTCAATAATGGTCATCTTTTTAAAAAGCAAAACAAACAAAAAAACACCATGTATAAATGAAAGTTATATAAAAATGGGTTGGGAGAGTTGAAATAAGACTAAATACACTGCAGCTTAACAACTGAAGTGAAAAGAGTGATTTTTATCCATCAGAAGGATAGTTTTAAAGATCTGGAAGTCAGGTAATTTAATTAATGAAATAACCCGCAAAAACAGCACACTGAAACAAGAATACCTGTAAGTCTAATGTACTCTGTGTATGTGCATTTCATGTTTCCACAGAATGCTTAGGAAATCGAGGATGGGCGACCAAATGTGGTAATTTTGAGTTGTTAGCCTTTGTGAATGGTCGGCAACTAGGTTTTACTAAGAATAGACCTATTGAAATGAACGACCCTAATGTAGTCATCTTCATTAATTTCAGTGGTTCTTCTCAGATTAAAATTTAGTTGACTTCCACCCTATAGTTATTTCGTCCTGAGAGTTCTGTCAAGCTAGGGTACATATCTGATACTGAAAATAGCATATTGGAGAAGATAAGTTAAATAGTAATTCATTGTGCTGCCATCCAAGTAAAATATAATAATTAAGAACTTCTGACATGCAGCATTTCTGAAAAGTTTCTTTGGCAGTAATTCTCAAATTCATTCTATTAAGATCTCCCCCCAGAATTTTGTGTCTGTATCAACTTGTTCACGATTTCCTTATCCTTGTCTGGAAGTCACTGCTGTTGTTTATTGCTTTCAATTACTGTTTTTAAATTGTATGGACTGAGAAGGTGACATCAAAATTTAATTTCCCAGGAAGGGAATTTAAATGATGGTTTTAAAAGGAGAGAGAATGATTTCTCTTGGCCAAACCATATCAAGATTAGAATGCCTTTGTCCTTTACCTTGGCTAAGAAGTGACATTTTGGAAGCCCATTAATAAAGATGAAGAAAGGATAATGAGATGGAAATTTCAACTGTTGCCCTATTTAATAACCAGCCTTGCAGAACAAAATCAATTCTAGCTTAAGTGTCACTTTCAAACTCAATTTCAAGTACATGAAATAAAAAGCAAAGATACAGCAAAAAGGTTTCATTTGGTTATAAGGCATAAATAAACAGATGCAGCTGTCCCTTGCAAGCTAGATGATACAACACATCACTGAACTAATTCCTGTTGACTGTGTCAGCCTGTACTAAATTCTATTAAGGCCACAATGTTCAGATTGTCACTAGGACTTTGGGAGTGGGTTTAAATCCTCTCAGCCATGAAGCCAGGGGCTATTACTTCAAGCAACAGACTGCCTTGAATATGGAGCTATTCAGCTGCTTTTCCTTATCTTGACATATAGCAATATCTGTTTTATTACCTGAAAGTTATTGTCTTTGTAGTTTGTCATTCGGAACGTGTGGTCCCTTGTTGTGGGCTGGAGTGAGACAGAGTGGCTGATAACAAACCTCTGTTGAAACTCAGTTAAACATAGCAAAATAGTCAAAAGGGTGAGGTGAGCAGAGCAGATCGCTAAAGGAAGTGAACCTAGCAGAGACTGGAAGTCAAGAGAAGTCATAGTTGGAAACTTCTCATGAACAGAGAAGCCCACTAGACGCAAACACATGAAGAAGCACATCATGTCCTCGTGTGTGCAGTTATGTGCCACATACAGATATAGTGGTTCCAATTTCCCTTCTGCAGACACTCAGTGCTGTAGTTTTTTCACTCTTGACAATGGCCGTTTTCTTTTTCGGAAGCAGGTTCCTCCCACAGAGCATCAGAGACCCAAATTAACATGAGTTGCACTACTTCCTCCTGCTTAAATGGGTACTGTGGAATTTCACTACTTTAGCAATACTTACAGGATGTTTACCAAACCAGCTAAAGGCATGCACTTGCAATATCTTGAAGCTTTGACATAATCTAAACTAGAACTCTTGGCCCCCCAGATATTGTTGAACTACAACTCCCATCATCCCCAGCCAGTTTAGCCCATGGTCAGGGGTGATGACCCAAGGTTGCTTAACTGCCAAAAGAGGAAATTAAAGACTAGTTTTGGGTAGACACAAAACAGTGCAAATAGGCTGTCTTTCAATGCATTAAAAAAAAGTTCCTTAGTTTTATTCCTGAGAATTTCTACAATTTTCAAATGATACTCCCACAAAGAAAGATCTTCCGATCAAATCTATTAAAAAACTATTTGCCTTGGTTTTATGAGTGTTGGACAGCAAGTGCTAGGGAGCAATCCTAACACCTGGCTAAGGAAAAAGAAAGTGAGTCGTGGGCAACTTACACCTGCGAGGAGTGATGCCTCAGTGCTATCCATATGTTCTGTGTCATAAACATTTCGGGCACCACATGGCAGGACATAGTCTCTGAGATTATGTTTGCACTTCTGTCTCAGCAACATCCAAAGGTAAAAAGAGGTAAAGGACCCCTGGGCGGTTAAGTCCGTCAAAGGCAACTATGAGGTGTGGCACTCATCTTGCTTTCAGGCTGAGGGATGTTGGTCCACAGACAGCTTTCTGGGTCACGTGGCCGGCAGGACTGAATCGCTTCTGGCACAACAGGACACCGTGACGGAAGCCAGAGCGCACAGAAACACCATTACCTTCATGCCACAGCGGTACCTATTTATCTACTTGCACTGGTGTGCTTTCGAACTCCTAGGTTGGCAGGAGTTGGGAGAGAGCAATG